CTGACGTGGTGTCTCACGCCTGTAATTCCAGCACTTTGGGAGGCCGAGGCAGGTGAATCACCTAAGGTCAGGAGTTCAAGACCAGGCTGAACAACATGGCAAAACCCCATCTCTACTAAAAATACAAAATTAGCTAGGCATGGTGGCACATGCCTGTAATCCCAGCTACAGGAGGCTGAGGCAGGAGAATCACTTGAACCTGGGAATCGGAGGTTGCAGTGAGCCGAGATTTCGCCATTGTACTCCAGCCTGGACAAGAGCAAAACTCCATCTCAAAGAAAAAAAAAAAAAAATCTCGTATCCAGATTTTTCAAGGCCCAACTCAAACACCACCTATTCTATAAACTTTTTTTTTTTTTTTTTTTAGATGTCTCACTCTGTTGTCCAGGAGTGCAATGGCACCGTCTGGGCTCACTGCAACCTCCACATCTCAGGTTCAAGTGATTCTCCTGCCTCAGCCTCTGGAGTAGCTGGGACTACAGGTGCCCACCATGCTCGGCTAATTTTTTGTGTTTTTAGTAGAGATGGGGTTTCGTCATGTTGGCCAGGCTGGTCTCAAATTCCTCACCTCAGGTGATCTGCCTGCCTTGGCCTCCCAAAGTGTTGGGATTACAGGCGTGAGCCACCACACCCAGCTCTATAAACTTTCTATGATCTCAAAGCCTCCAAGATTCTTCTCCAGACCCTAATGGTATTCCACCTTCACCAGCCCTGATGGCTCCTACTCCTCTCCACCTTCGCTACTGCATCAGACCATAAGCTCCTTAAAGGCAGTGACCACGTGTCTACCAGTTGTACTTTACAAAGAACCTACCAAGATTATGTTTGCAACAAATACAGTTATCCCACAATATCCACAGATTCAACCCATAGTGGATCAAAAATACTGGATTCAAGAGATGCGGAACATGGCCCACTGTGGGGCTTGAGCATCTGCAGGTTTTGGTATGCACCAGGGTTGTGAACCAACCCCTCCAGATACCAAGGGATAAATGTATTTGTAAAATATTTTTATTGTGCCACCATGCCCGGCTGATTTTTGTATTTTTAGTAGACAAGGTTTCACCATGTTGGCCAGGCTGGTCTCGAACTCCAGGCCTCAAGTGGTCCGCCTGCTTCAGCTTCCCAAAATGCTGAGATTACAGGCATGAGGCACCACGCCTGGCCAGTATTTTTATTTTTTAATAAGACAAGATCTCTTTCTGTTGCCCAGTCTGGAGCGCAGTGGTGCATGGCTCACTGCAGCCTCGACCTCCAGGGCTCAGGCGATCCTCTTGCTTCAGCCTTCAGAGTATATGGGACCAGAGATGTGCACCACCACACTCAGCTAACTAAAAAAAAAAAAAAAAAAAAAAAAAATTATTCATACAGATGGAGTCTCCCTGTGTTGCCCAGGCTGGTCTCAAACTCCTGGACTCAAGCAATCCTCCTCCTCAGCCTTCCAAAGTGTTGGGATTATAGGCATGAGCTACCACACCCAGCCCATTATACTTTCCTTTGTTTAAACACAATTAAAACAGTTATGTTGGCCAAGCATGGTGGTTCACAGCTATAATCCCAGCACGTTGGGAAACGGAAACCAAGGGGGGGGTCCAGCCTGGGCAACATAGTGAGACCTTCCCTTTACAGAAAAAAAAAAAAAAAGGGTCGGGCACAGTGGCTCACGACTGTAATCCCAGCACTTTGGGAGGCTGAGGTGGGTGGATCACAAGAGACTGGGAGTTTGAGACCAGCCTGGCTAAGATGGTGAAACGCCATCTCTACTAAAAATACAAAAATTAGCTGGGCACAGTGGCAGGCGCCTGTTATCCCAGCTACTCAGGAGGCTGAGGCAGAAGAATTGCTTGAACCTGGGAGGCAGAGGTTGCAGTGAGCCAAGATCACACCACTGCACTCTAGTCTGGGCGACAGAGCAACACTCTGTCTCTAAAAAACAAAAAAAAAGAAAGAAAAAGAAAATAAAAGGCTGGCCACGGTGGCTCACACCTGTAATCCCAGCTCTCAGGGAGGCAGAGGCGGGAGGATAGCTTGAGCCCAGGAGTTCGAGACCCGCCTGGGCAATACAGAGAGACCCCGTTCTCCACAAAAAGGAAGAAAAAAACCCCATATTTTATGTACCATATACAATTACATTATCTGTAAAATTCATTTGACAATTTGATTTTATATGTCTCTTTTTTTGAGACAGGGTCCCCTCCGTCGCCCAGGCTAGAGTGCAGTGGCATGATCACGGCTCACTATAGCCTTGACCTCCTGGGCTCAAGGGATCCGCCCACCTCAGTCACTGAGCAGGGGGTGCTACAGGCACATACCAACATGCCCAACTAATTTTTGTTTTTGTTTTAGAGATGAGGTTTCACCATGTTGCTCAGGCTGGTCTTGAACTTCTGGGCTCAAGCGATCTTCCCAAAGTGCTAGGATTACAGGCATGAGTCACTGTACCTGGCTGTTACTTTTTTTTTTTGAGACGGAGTCTTGCTCTGTTGCCCAGGCTGGAGTCCAGTGGCACAATCTCGGCTCACTGCAAGCTCCGCCTCCCGGGTTCACACCATTCTCCTGCCTCAGCCTCCTGAGTAGCTGGGACTACAAGTGCCCACCACCATGCCCAACTAATTTTTATTTTATTTATTTTGAGACCAAGTTTCGCCCTGTCACCCAGGCTGGAGTGCAATGGTGCTATCTCGGCTCACTGCAACCTCAGCCTCCCAGGTTCAAGTGATTCTTGTGCCTCAGCCTCCCGAGTAGCTGGGATTACAGACATGCACCAGAACGCCCGGCTAATTTTTTGTATCTTTAGTAGAGATGAGGTTTCGCCATGCTGGTCAGGCTGATCTCGAACTCCTGACCTCGTGATCCACCCGCTTCAGCCTCCCAAAGTGCTGGGATTACAGGTGTGAGCCACCGCGCCCGGCCTACATTTTTTTATTTTTTAACGAGACAGGGTCTTGCCATGTTGCCCAGGCTCATCTCAACTCCTAGGCTTAGGCAATCCTCCTGCCTTAGTCTTCCAAAATGCTGGGATTACAGGCCACTGCACCCAGCCCTATTTATATTTTTTGAGAAAAGATAAAACAGGGGCCAGGTGCGGTGGCTCACGCCTGTAATTCCAACACTGTAATCCCACCACGGCCTCCCAAAGTGTTGGGATCATGAGGTCAGGAGATTGAGACCATCCTGGCTAGTAGAGTGAAACCCCATCTCTACTAAAAATACAAAAAATTAGCCGTGTGTGGTGGCAGGCACCTGTAGTTCCAGCTCCTCGGGAAGCTGAGGCAAGAAAATGGTGTGAACCCAGGAGGCGGAGCTTGTGGTGAGCCGAGATCCCACCACTGCCAGCCTGGGCGACAGAGCGAGACCGTCTCAAAAAAATAGTAATAAATAGGCTGGGCGCGGTGACTCGAGCCTGTAATCCCAGCACTTTGGGAGGCCGAGACGGGCAGATCACGAGGTCAGGAGATCGAGACCATCCTGGCTAACACGGTGAAAACCCGTCTCTACTAAAAAATACAAAAAACTAGCCAGGCGTGGTGGCGGGCGCCTGTAGTCCCAGCTACTCGGGAGGCTGAGGCAGGAGAATGGCGTAAACCCGGGAGGCGGAGCTTGCAGTGA